TTCATGCTCCCTTTTTCTTTGGTTATCATCAGTTTCAATCTTGAGCCTTTCAAGCTCCCTATTTCTTTCCTTTTCTTCTGCTTCGTTTTGCAATTTGAGCTGCAATTGTCTCTCTTCACTTTCCAACTCGAGCCTCCGCTGTTGGTGTTCAGCCCGGGCTTCTGCCTCTGCTAATCGCCTCGCTCCTTCTTCTGCCTGTTTCCTTCGCTCTTCTGCCTCTTTCTCCCTTGCCTCTTCTGCTAGCTTCGCTCGTTCTTCGGCCTGTTGCCTTCCCTCTGCTTGTGCCTCTGCCTCTCGCCTTGCTTGTGCCTCTGCCTCTCGCCTTGCTTGTGCCTCTGCCTCTCGCCTTGCTTGTGCCTGTGTGCTATTCCCCATACCTTGCCGCTGAACTCAGTCTTTCTTTGCTGACTTCGACTGATTCTGACTGTTGTGATAAGTTACATTCAGCTTAGATGGTGCTATAGTGTCAGCATTAATTTTAAGTAGTCAGCATTGGGCTCTGCCATGACTCAGACTTTAATAGATCTATTCCCGGGTGAAACATTCATTTTTGTGAGCCTGCAACATGAAAGCTAAAATTTAAAATGCCCAGAAAACATATTAAGAAAAAATTCACTAATTTTGGGGCTTACAACAAAATTTCAATTTAAAAGTTTTTTGGAAGGAAGATATAAAGCTATGTCATAGTTGGTACATGCTGAAGATTTGGACATCATTTTCAAGAGATATAATATTGAAAGGTAAAATAATAACAATAAAGGTACTATAATAACGTTCATATTTCATTATAGCATCATGTACTCTTGATTATAGCTATAGGAACAAAGAAAGCCAATGCCGGAATATTTGAATGGCTGCAAGTTTTTAAAGTTATAGTAATAAAAGAGTAGTCTAAGCTTCATAATACTCCGTTATGACTACTATAACGTATAGATCTCAAAAGCCTTGACCTATCATGTGAATTTGAAATTCAAACAGCTCCATATAAGGATTCACTGTTGTGATAGGGCAAATGTATCCAGTCAGCTTGTGCAGTAGCTTCTTGTGCCAAGAGAAGTAAGGATGGCTACTGGACCACCAGTACGGTCTGAACCAGAGTTAGATCCACCACAGGAGTTTGTTACAATAATGGATCCTGTCCATGGATCCATACAACTTGATAAATATTTGTTTAAGATTATTGATAGACCAGAATTCCAGAGACTGAGGAAGATCAAGCAATTTGGTGAGTCTAAACTATGTACGACTGATACTAAAATTTTAGGTGGAGTATATTATGTGTATTCTGGTGGAGTCCACACAAGATTTGAGCATTCTATTGGGTAATACACAATACATATTATTTTGTACTTTCTAATTGCATGCAGTGTTTGCTATATTGCTGGTCAACTGGTCGAGGCACTGAACAAGCACTGTCCTCCTAAAGAAGAAAAGCTATCTGAATGGTTCACACCACAAGAGAAGATGTGTGTACAGATTGCTGCATTGTGTCATGACATTGGTATGTATCAACACATTGTCTTGTTTAGATTCATTTTATACTTAGGGCATGGACCTTTCTCACATGTTTATGACTTTGCTGTTGAAGAATACTACAAAGAATTAAAGGCAGATGAAGAAAAGATAAAGTTTATAACTTTAAACGAAGACAATGATGTTTACCAAGAGAACGAACAAAATTTAGAAAAGAAAACATTACCAAAAGTAATTTTTTGATAATAAGTGTAATGTACATATCAATGAATAGAAAGCAAAACACGAATATAGATCAGCTCTAATTGTCAAACATATAATGAGTAAACTTGAATTCAAAGAACTGGAAAAAGAAAAGGACTCATCAATTTTATTACTTAACTATTGTTATTATTATTATTATTATTATTTAGAATTTTAAGTGACAGTACAAGTAGCTGCAGTTGAATACCATAATAGCGGAAAGTTTCTTGGCCAAAAACTTTCGTGGTTTTTGTAGTTTGGAATGACACCACAAAATTAAAAACCACGAATTATTTGCTGGTTAATGAGAGGCATGGAAGCTTCACTGATGATCCATAAAAATATAAACCATACATAGCCCTGATATAAATCATCGGAAAGAGCTGCTGCATATATCATTGTACACATTATTGCCGCATTACGATGACAAAATAGAATTAAAGAGAAAAAGTTTACATGGAAAAGAAAACAATCTCACTATAATTAATGTCAGCAATTTAATAGAAAAACACTCTATCTTTTATGATATTATAGTCACGATATTCTGTGCACATGTCTTTGTCGTCAGTATGTAGATAGAGCTTCATTTTCTTATTAACTAATAACGATTGAAGAATTAGTACTATTCCATCAGACGATATTGAAGTACCTGCTATATCTAATACTTCTAATGTTGAATTTTTGATTAGTTCAGAAAGATTCAGTGAAATAGCAGAGGTAACAAGAGCATTTCTCTGGAAGCTTAATCCATTAAGTGTATTATTTTGCAGCAATACAGTTATAACGTCAGCAACTGCTTTGTCAGCAATGGAGCAGTTACAAAGATATAAACCTTCTAGCGATTTGTTGTTAGCCAGTAAGTTACATAAAGATGAGATGCAGTCCTGTGTTAGTTGAGTGTCACGTATTGTCAAGGATTTCACATTTTCATTTTCTAATAAAACTGGCAACAGATCACACACAATGTCAGGAGATGATTTCATTATTCTTATGCTACGATGCTTGCTTGTTAATAGAGAAACTACTTCTTGACATTGTATTAAAGATGGAGAGGTCAGTTGAACACCATCATCATACCACCTAATAGCTTTAAGTTTTTCTGAATACATCAATAAATTATAATAAATTATATACTGTATAATCAAGTATAATTCTCCACTATAAAATTTCTAATGGATAATAAGGCAAGCAACACTTCTTTCTACTTTTTGTGGATTTTATACTTCAAATATTTTACATTTCAAAAAATTAATACACAAGCTAGACAAAATATAGGAAAAAAGAAATTGCTGATCATGGACAATATCTAATGCCCTCAAAATACTCTATAGATTATTAGTACATATAAATATATCTTACCATATTCTTTTTTTCTAAGTTGATCTAGCAGAACTGAATCTTGTTTAATTAATGATAAAAAGAGACTTGCTCTCTCAACGTTGCTCCTCGTCTTAATTTCCTTGATTTTAGGTATGTCAACATTTTCTGTCATTGCATAATGAAATAGTTCAAGTGATTCCAATGTTGACAGTTCACTCTCTTCATCTTTTTTAATATCAATAATATTAACAATTCCCTCTTGATCAGTATCTAATGATCTTGCTAACCACCATTCACTAGTACGCTCTTCCTTGATCTGAAGTTTCTCTCCTTTCTTGATTGAAAGTTGAGTACTATTCCTTGCCTCCCAGTCTCTAATAGCTACATAAACTGGTCCTTTTGGTGGATCCATATATTGTGTAGACTGATCCTTTCCTAAAATACCAGTACTAGTCATTATGTTAATATAATGTAATACATACTAAGAGTAA